CACACACACACACACACACACACACACACACACACACACACACACACACACACACACACACACACACACACACACACACACACACACACACTTCAGTTGCCAGGATGAAAATGTAAAAGACACAGAATCCGTTTGAAAAGTGGAATTTATTTATTGAACCTTTTGATAAAACCAGGTCGGCCTCTTCACATCATCAGCGACACGGGTGCTGACATTGGGAGTCTCCCCAGCACATACACACCACCCACACATGCGCTACATGGTCCGTCCCCGGCTCGGAGCGGACGTACTGATCGCCATAAATATTTGGACACCGGAGAAACACAAAGATCTGATTTTTGATCTGAAGCTTTGGATGAAAAATCCTCCTGCGACAGATTCAAGATAAATATTTACAACAATTCTGATTCATTTCACTGAGCTACACAGCGTGAACGTCCATTTGACTGGTGTGTGACGACAGAGAACAAACAGGTGACAGATTGAGACCATGAAGGATTTAGTATTATTACTGTGACTTTCTAGAGATTTATTATTATTAATATTCAACCTTCAACTACAAATTAGTGCTCCATCTTTTTTTAATACACAATTACAAGGTGTTGAGATTGTGTGTGCGTGTGTGAGTTCAGTAAATTTCCCACAATTCTAAGGTGTGTGAATGTGACGCACAGTAAACATACATATAAAAAGGTCATACACAGATAATTCTGTACATTATTTGCTGCCAACGACACGTTTCCATTCCCAGCTTAACTCAGACTCCTTCCTGCTGTGACACACTTACTTTACTTCACAATCCGTGACCTGCACCACCTTCTGCACAATCAGGCTCTGTCAGACAATGTGACCATTTCAGAACAGTGATTTGGTTTCTTTAGGCGCGTGGCGAAGGTGTGGACGCACCGACGTCGACAGAACACCTTCAAACCTGCATCTGCTCATTTTTGAAAATCACACTCAGGACTTGACCTCATTGATAATAAGACGAGTACATTCTGTGGACAGTTCTTTGTCTCAGTTTGGTGGAAAAACACAAAATACACGTGTAGATGCCAAAACAACAACATTCAAACGATCAGTACCTTCAAAGTAAACTCAAGACTCAAAACCGCAAAATGCTTCAACACATGAAAATGACAGAGGAAGTCTTGGTCAGTGTTCGACTGCGATCGATAAAACCCGTCTACGTCAGCGTTAAAACCACCGAGGATTGTTTTGTACAAAATGATCAATATTCAGCAACAACCAGAGGGAAAACACAAGAATCTCATGACGGAAAGTAAACTCATTACCCATAAGTTTCAATGAGGGTTGATTAGTGTCGTCATTATCCTGCTGTGGTGATTGTAAACAAACTCTCCTGCGTCTCATTTCCTTCATTAATATTCAGACTAACGGTCATTTTACCTTTTTCATTAGCGGGAGAAGAAAGAAATGATTGTTGTGTTTGATTCATCTTGTCGTACAACATAGGTAGTATTTAGAGGAGCGTCATTTTACTTTCAAATGAACTTTCCTTTAAGTTAACTTGAAAAAAGCAGATTTGCCTGAAGCATCGCTACGACAGCTTGTTCCTTTCACTTGAGAAAAAAGAACGATTCTGCTTCTTCTCACGTGAACGAAAGCAAACGCTTCAGTTTTTGCCAAACTCTGCGGAGGACAGTAAAACCATTGAGGATGTTGTTTTGGTCTTCTTGGTTTAAAGGAGCTTTAAGTTACACACATGGATTTATTGGTTTGTCAGCTTCGGACAGAGATTGTTCAGACGAGGAGAACAAGGATTCTGAGCTCTTCCATTAATAACAAGCAGAATGATTTTCTCCTCCTGATCTGCTCCAGACTCAGTTTACAGTAATTTGCTCAAAGTGCTCTGTCAGTGAGACTAAAACCTCGATGGTAGCTTATTCTGAATGTCAGTGGATTCCAGAGAGGTAATTCATTTATCGGTATTTAACCAATGATAACTTCACTTTCCTTTTATTTCTCCTTCCTTCCTCGTCGGATTAGTATTTTTCTAGACTCTTGCCCAATAAAGTGTAAACAAAAAGAATATGCACTATATACAAAGAATGAAAAATCAAATAATTTAAAACTGTATATACATAAAAAAACAAGGCAAAAAGTGAGGTTTAAATGAAGAGTGTGGTTTTTGATGAAAACAATTGTTTCTTTCTTACACTTAAAATCAAATTTGACTTTTTATTTTACCGCCTGATATTCGAGGTTTAGCATCAGTGAATATTTCATGCTACTAGTGAAATACACAGATCTGAACTCAAACTGAAACTGGGCTACCTGTTAGCCTAGCTAAGGCTAAATGTCTGCACACGAGTAGATGGAGGAAACGGACTCGTCACATTGTGGATACGATGTTTTGCTACGGTGCTTTGAATCAAAGAACACGAGGCGCTCAGGTGCAGACGTTCTAGTGAGCAGCATGCTTAGAAACGAGTATCTAAATATTCTCTGATCGATGGCGGACGTTTGTACAGTGAAGCAGCAGGACTATGTTTCAGTGTGGTGACGTGTGTTTAAACTCTGCTTTAAGCTTTAGGTGTGTTTGTTTTGATCAAACCGAGCTGCAACCAGCCTCCCCTCGCCGGGACGCTCTGTGCCTCCTCCGTGCCGCCGCTGCTCTAGCCGATCAGGGAGCTGCGTCTGGATAGGTCCACGTTGCTGGCGCTGAGCCCCCTGCAGTCTGACAGTCCGGAGTTGGCGTCCTGAAAACAATCCTGTACATGTTAGTAACAGTGCAGGGAACTACAACCTGTATCCAGTAGATTCCTCTGTGCTGGTCCTTATTCAAATATCTCAGTTTGTTTAATGTCATTGTGATCGATGCTGGATTTCTCCTTGTGTGTACAAGGGTTTGTTATTTTCAAATTGAATTTTTAATCATACTACGACATCAACCAGATGAATATAAAAGATGTGATCCAAATCCTCCGCAGGAGTGAGACGACACGCTGTGGCTGCTGTGATGACGTCGTACCTGTGTGGTCTCCTCAGTGCTCTTGTTGAGGAAGTTGAGGGAGCTCGCTCTCTTCATTCTGAGCAGAAAAACAAAACCATCCACTCATGAACTCGATGTGTTGGTTTGAGCTTCTTGAAGATAAATGTCTCATCACTACGTTCACTCCAGATGATGATGTCATCTTCACAAACAATGTGTAATCTCACCCTGGGTTACGAGGTTCCTGAGGTCCGCTCCCCTGCAGCTTCTTCACCAGCATCTCGCTGCTCCTCCTCAGAGCGTCACGAATCTTCCCGAAGGAGCCGCTGCGACGCAGAGACCCGTTACCGTCCTGAGGAACAGGAAAATATTTGACTGGAGACATTAAACATGAAAAACTCAGCTGTCATCAAAAAAAGAGCGAAGAGGAGCCGGACTGACGAGTATTTCATCAACAACAGTGAAATAATATGTGAACGAACCCCGTTCCACTCAGCAGAGTCATCGCCTTCGTTGTCCCCCCGCTGTCCCCCAGGTCCGTTGATTCCTTCCCTGCTGTGTCGTCTGTCGCTCCCACCGGTTCCTCCGTCCTTCAGCAGCTCCACCACTTTACTCTGGTTAATGGCGTCGATGCCCTGAGGACACGGACACACACAGAGGAAAAGAAGACTTCAGCTTTATGTCTCTAAATTCACTTCGAGCAGGGTTACGTGCCTCATGAATCACAGCTGTAATGTCTCCAGCTGATCAGCGAGTTGAAAAGAGCTCAGACAACTAATCTAACAGCCGTGACTCAGCCAGTGTCAGTGTGGCACCTGTTTACGTGACTTGCTGGCGCACTCCTCCAGAGTCTCTGCTGCTTCCAGTTTGCCCTGACGACGGTACAACGCTCCCAGGCTTTTCAGGGTGGTGTTCACCGTGGGGCTGGAAGGAAGATTTAAAGAGTCCTTGGTAAAGTTATTTTCAATTATTTTTATGAATGAAAGATGAATTAAGGCTTAGGAAGGTTTTTAAAAAGGAGCCACAGCCAAGGTTGAAGTAATACATCACTGCAGAGCCTGTTCCTGAATTCAACCTGGATACAGGCCAGAGGGAACTTTTCAAGATGAACCGGAAGATTCGTTTTTTATAAGAGAAAGAATTTAGATTTGTTTGTTTATATATTTCAGTGTTACAGCATTTTCAGAGCATTAGAGAGTAGTACACCTCATACACTGTATACTCTCTGCAGTACACCTCATACACTGTATACTCTACTGCAGTACACTTCATACACTGTATACTCTCTGCAGTACACCTCATACACTGTATACTCTACTGCAGTACACCTCATACACTGTATACTCT